ACTGCAGAGAAAGCATAAATCAGGTCATAGGGTGGTTGGAGAAATATTAAATGATCCTTGATTTCTTATGTCTTCTAAAAATACACTTGACTGCTGAATAGTTAGGTGCAAAAGATGGTGCTTGAGGTGGCTGTGTTTTGAGTAGGTTTTCCATTTTCAGGGCTTTGGGGTTGGCTTTAGGTTTTTGCACTGCTGGGGACTCAACCCAGATCACCCCCACATGACTGCGGACTTCATCAGCCTTGGCACTGTGCAGACCCAGGCCTTGCTGTTGGTACGTATGTTGGCCCTGGCTGGGCTCCTCGGCTGCAGAGTGCCAAACCACAGGCCTGTCCTGGGCCCATCTCAGAATTTTCTGAAGTGTCTTCATTTTTCTATTTTTAAAATTTGTATGTTTGTAGGTGAGTAAGGGTATATGTTTTTTGCTTCCTTTAGCCATTGTGTCTGCTCACACACATCATACCTCCAGTTACAGATTTCCAAACAGCGTAACAGGTCATCTTTCTACATGGATTGATAAAAATGATAGAGTACTAGACTTGTAGGCCCTCCCAAAAGGACCAAGATGTATAAACCTCACCAGGATCAATGTAATGGTTAGTAATAAATAATGATTGATATTTGGCATATCGTCAGTTCTCTTTCTGACATCAGTGAGCTTTAGGTAGGCGATTGAAGAACTCACCCTTTACAGTAGTTTGCTTGTCGGTTGTTTTCTTTCCCTTCCCTACCTTCTAAAGAGCAGGTAGGATGCAGTATAAATCTATAGCAAAGACAGCATAATTGCTTCATTCTATGTATTGCTAAAAGTAAAAGAAGAGCCTGACGTTGGCTAGGTGTTCTGGGCTATTCCATCTAAAATATGGTTTTGTCTTATCAATAAACTGAATTAATCTGTATGTATTTGTGTCTGTACAGCTTATTCCTGTGTACTTAACTGTCTATAAAATATATACACAAGCAAACCATTGACAGTTTTTTTAAACTACAACTAGGGATGGTAATTTATTTTCTTTTTTGTTTGCTTGTCTGTCTTGTCTGTCTCTGTCTGTCTCTCTCTTTCTGTCTCTGTCTCTGTCTGTCTCCTTTCTTGTTTTGTTTGCTCACTTTTATGGGAGGGCCCTGCTCCCTGTACCTGGAAAGAGGTCAGCACATTTTATGCGAGAGCCCTGGGGGTCTTCTGGCATGGGCTCTGGAAAGTTGTAGGGATGGCTGATGGTGCTGGAGTACTTGGTGCCGGTGCTGAGTGAGGCGATGACAGCAAGGCCCTGACAGTGAAGGCCCTGACAGTGAAGGACCCAGTCAGCCCCACTTCTGGACCCAGGAATTCCTGAGGAAGGTGGTGACTTGCATGTTGAGGGTGCTGGTGGCAGTTGGGGGAGGTGTTATTTTCTGATTGACTCCATTTAAAGCAAGAGCCAAGAAGTAACATTTACATAAATATTTAGAAAACATGAATAATTTCAGAAGCAATCTCCCAAAAGCACAGACTAGAAAATTGCTCTAAGGCAGTCATTCTAGAATGGGGTTATGACTGTGGCCCTCTCTTGAACTATTTAAATCATTGTGTTCTCCCATTAAGTTATGTTCTCCCTTTAGAGAACATGAGCATTGTTATTAGTTCCCCATTAAAATTAACCTAAGTTAGCATAATACCTTCCTGGCAAGCACAAGGTCCTGAATTTGACCCCCAGTACCAAAAAAAAGGAGAGAAATACATAAAATTAACCTGAGTGTTTGAATGTTCTGGAGACTACTGTACACATGAAATGCATCATAGAAACTATGAATGAAAGCAGTGATGTTGCTTTCTCTGAAATGAAACGGATTTGGAGCAGAAAAAAATATTTTCCCAAGATCATGTGTTGACTCAGTGGTAGCATCCAGAGCTGTCTTAAACCTTGCTTTTCATCGCGGCTGCTAAATTGAAGACTGACATCTTTTTCTTACTCCTTGGCCAAGGGGCCAGCTAACCATGTAATTAATGCTTGCTAGGAAGCAAATAAAGAATATCAACTATTAAAAAAAAAATGCAACCACTGCTAGGTATGGTGGTGCACGCCTGTAACCCCGCACTTGGGAAGGTGAGGCAGGAGGACTGACTGCCCCACATTCAAGACCAGCCTGGGCTACACAGTGAGTTCAAGGTCATGTTAAGTTCCGAGTCAATTTCAAGACCCTGACTCAGTGAACCAAAGAACAAAGAAACTAACAAAAACTGCAGCCAGCCCTCCAAAAATACCAAGAAGCTCTGAAAAACACCATGGGATGTGGTAGGGGACCTGAAAATTGGGCCTGGCTCAGTTTCTTAGCTCGAGTGCCACTTTCTTAGGGAAACCTTTATCACATTCTCTTCATTTTTCTGTTACAGCACTGAACTTACTGTTTTAATTACCATATTTCAGTGATTCTAAGATGTGCCTTTTTCTAATTTCAGTATTTCTGAAGTCTAATGGCCTTTTTTTTTGGGGGGGGGGAGGGTGTACAGGGAGTTCAAGGTCTCATTACTAGATCAGACTCATGATCCCCCTGTTTACAGGCTCCCAAGAGCTGGGATTACAGGCGTGCACCACCACGCCCAGTCTCAATTGCTGTGGGGCAGGGCCAGCATGGCAGGCCCCGGGATCAACTAATGGCTTATTGATAATGACTTAAAATTAGCATTACCCTTAATTACTGATGCATAAAGCAATTTGCAGTTGATAATCCCCTGGGTTTGATGAAATGCAGTATTCATATGTCTTTTTATGAATACATGCCTCTCCCACATTTTTTTTTTTTTTTTCAAGTGTATTTGGTCTTTGCAGGATCTCATTACGCAGCTCAGACTCATGGTGATCCTCCTCTTTTTCAGCCTCCCCAGTGCTGGGATTACGGGCGTGCGCCACTATGTACAGACTCTGGCAGGCTCAGCCTTCCTTGGGGCTGGGGATGGCACCAAGGATCAAACCCGGTCCCTGCGCTGGCCTGTGCTTGCCTAAGCAGGCGCTTGAGTCCACTGAGCTATCTGGCTGGCCCCCTCCCCCAGTTTTAAGTAGCCCGGATGCATAATGGTTTCCTGATTTCTAGCCCCATCCTCTTTGTAAACTCTAGTCCTGGATGCTGAACTAAACTCTTTTCTTAATGTCACAGGGATCACAGCCCTAACGTGTCTGCTCTCCAGATCAGCTTGTCTTCTAGTGGTCCTCATTTTTGGTAAATGACATTTTCATTTGTATATTTGCAAAGCCAAAATGGGAGAAGTTGGGCTGCCCAGAGTAGTGTTCCATTTGCATCTGTGTGTGCACAGGAAAGCATGTCTCCTTCATGCCTCATCCCTGACCTGAAGAACAGAACAGTGCTCACCCCTGAGGTTGGTAGGAATGACTGTGACCTTGCGTCGGTGTTAGTCCCCATCTTCCTTATCCCTGACTGTTACCCCCTTACCTCTGCACATGTCAGAGGTCCTGGGGTAGGTGGGCCCTTCAGAATGTCTCAGATTTGCGAGCCCTGGTGGTATACACCTGTAATCCTGGCACTCAGAGGCCTAGGAGGAGGATCACCATGTATGCAAGGCCATCTGGAGCTGCGTAGAGTTGTACACTGGCCTGAGCTAAATCTTGAGACCTGTCTCAAAAAAAAGGAAAAAAATGGGGCTGGGGAAGTAGCTCAGCTGTCTTAAGCACCTGCCTGGCAAGCTCAAGGACCTGGATTCTATCTCTGGGACCGCAGACTGGACATGGTGGTACACACCTGTAATTACAGCACTGGGGACAGGAGGATCACTGTGAGTTTAAGCTACATAGTGAGACCCTGCATCAAATAAATGAAAATTTTAAAAAAATAGTAAAAGGTCAAACCTATCAACTTTCTCTCATTACCACTTGTATAATTCTCCATTTCTCTTACCTGTAGTAACTGTTACACCTTTTTCCATCCTTAGCATCGCAACCATCCTTTAAATCAGAGCGCACCACTTCTTCAAACCCTTGTAGTCCTTGATACCCAGCTCCTTGCTAGGGTGTGTCTTGTGTTCTGTTTCTGCCTGGCCTCTGCCTGCCCTTCCAGGCTCCTTTACCACTCCGTCTCCCTGTTATTCATGTCCTTTCAGACTAACTGCCACTTGGCCCTGAAGGTTCAGTTTAGACACCACGCTTGCATAGACATTCCTTGATCTTTAAGATAAGGCTCTTCAGTTACAGCTTTTTATATTAGGTTTATACCTTGATACTTGACGGTGATTAATTCTGTCCTGACTGAGGCTAAGGAAGGTAGGTGCTATCCCCAAGGCCGTAGCTGGGAGTGTTGGAACCAGGATACCCGGGCCAGGACCGGCCAGCTCTGAAGCTGTGTCCCTTCTCTGCTCCTTCCTTTGAAAGGACATCCACATCAGTGTTGAAAGTTTGAAATTGACCTCATTGCACTCTTCTTTGCTTTCCACATACTCTTCCGGTTGTTCCTTAAACACCTGTCTTTCCCAGCCTTTGTTCCTTCAATAGATCATAACTCCTTGGACACAGGACCTGGTTATTAACTGTTCTTTCTTAGATTGATTGAACACAGCATATCACATGTGAGTTACAGCCCCATCCAGAATCCACTCCCTTTTTAAGGGTATCTATATACGTCTTTTAGCACTTAAAGAAAAAATGTTTAATATTGTAATCCATGTAATCTTTTCAGAAGTTGCAACTGTTATGAAAAAGGAATTTAATACCATCTTCCATATTCTTCAGTCAGTGACAGAGTACATTTTGCTTACTTAGTTTGAGTAGAATTGCCAAAACTTTTTTTTTTTTTCTCCGAATGCCTTCAGGGCTGGTTTGGTGGCTTGAGTTGTGGGGATGGAACCACAGCAACCTAAGCCTGTCTGCTTTGTTGAAGCAGCCACTTAAAGAACTGAGCTACAGGGCAGGCCCCCAAGCAAAACTAATTTTAAAATGAACAGTCTGTTTGGAGAGATTGTAGTATCTATTTTCTTGAAAAAATAATTGACCCTAGGTATTTTTGCTTTCTTTCAGGAATTAAGTGATCTGCAGCGCGATCCTCCTGCTCACTGCTCAGCTGGACCTGTGGGAGATGACTGTAAGCTTTGTCCCGTGGCTGGGGTGTTTGGTAGCTTTAAAAATACAGGTTTGAACATCTGTAAGTAACTCTCACACTCCTTTGTTTCAGTGTTCCACTGGCAAGCAACTATTATGGGGCCTGTAAGTATGATTCCTATCTGTGAGATTCATAGCCATTCTTTGTTCTTACCTCTTCATCTTTGGTCAGTTGTTTGTGAGGAAGGAGGCATTTCCTTGTAGTCTGAATCACCCAGCAAGCCAAATAGGAATAAAAGTTTGTGATGCTTTTCTCAAGCATTGGTGGCAAACACTAGTGTGGCTGTGATGCTTTCCTTTGTCACCACCATCATTATCACACACAGCAAAGCAGTACCCACAACTTGCAAACAGACTGTATGCTTGCTTTTTTTTTTTTTTTTTT